CCGCGACCCACAGATTGCGAGTCTAGCGCCCTAACCACCGGGCCTGAACATGATGAGCATGGTGTTTATCTTTTCTGCTATTGTTATTTCTGTTTCTTCCTTTTCCTGTATAGATTATAGTATTTATCCATCTTTCCATTTTGGATTACTTTGGTGTAGTCAGCTTAATTTTACGTTTTTGTTCCGTTTGTCTGACAAACATCTTCAAATTTCTGAGCTCCATTCACCTCTCGCTACTGTAAGTCTTTTGCTCTTTTTTTTTTTTTTCATGTGTTGACATCCTGTTTTTCCAGAGAAAATTTATTGTTTATATAAAATCTTTCTCTTCTGGTGTTGAAGAGCTAAACTTGCACGACAGCTAATATTTACGCTTGTTTTTAAAGACAGTGTTTGTTATTTGAAGATAAGCGTTTGCTACTTCTTTTCTTCAGGGTGAAGCCCAGAAAATTGAGAGATTAATAGAAGTGTTCAGCCACAGGTATTCAGACTGCAATCGGGATATAGTGACCAAATTTCACAATCCTGACACAGTCTTTGTTCTTGCTTTTGCTATCATTATGTTAAACACAGATCTACATACGCCCAACCTGAAAGCAGATAAAAGGATGAAACTGGACGATTTCATAAAGAACTTAAAAGGTAAGGTTTACCATTTTATCCTTTTACTTTTTGGAGTCATTTTTCGAAGCTAGTTTTACTATTTCTTTAGTTTAAGACATTTTGAGTAATATAATACATTTACTTTGTACCATTTTTAGCTCGTAAATAAACATATAATTTTTATAAGGTTCAGAAAGAAAAAAATTCTCTCATCAATCTAAAATAAAAACTGTTGTCAATCAAACGGCTTTAAAATAAAAATGAATCAGTTTTGTTTGTTTGTTTTTTAATTATGCACAAAGCTACACAAGGGCTATCTGTGCTCTGCCCACCACGGGTATCGAAACCCGGTTTCTAGCGTTGTAAGTCCGCAGACATACCGCTGTGCCACTTTTACATCAGAAAAGGGAAATGTTGATGTAATCTAATCAGTTTTATTGCAACTTATTTTAATTACAGATCTTCTATCAGATCTTGCAATTAAATTAATTCTCTTAAACTGATGACATCTTGTATCACTAATGTGTTCATAAACTGTTGTTCATATCAGAGCTTCTGTTTTTCTATTTTGTTTATGGTATTTATTTCATAAGACCTATTAATATTCAAAAAAAAACATTTCGAAAAATTTGAAAAATAACCATTACTGTTACTTTTGGTGGTTTGAAACTAAACTCTTTCCCACTATTGGGCCTAGTGCTTTTATATCAAAACTACCACATTTTGTTCTTAAATTGTTAAAATTCTTGCATTATTTTAAACTTGTTTAAATCAGTAAACCTCGATTTTTCTTGGATATATCCCACAACAAACACATCAATTAAATTTAGCCACCTCTTGTAGTAGGTGTCATGGTTAACATAAAAAATATAAAATTTGATTTGTGGATTTACGAAAGAATTTTGAGGCGAGAAATTTGGTTCTGGTTAATAAACAAACAATGTTTTACTTTCTGCAAAATAACTCTCAAGCCAGAATCTGAAACACAGGCCTTATAAACAGCTCTGACAATGTTGTTATTGCTCATTGTATGAACTATCCTTAGACAATAAGTAAACAAACTCTCTGTACAGAAACTAGCATTTAAATAAGTTTCAAGAATCCCACTTTTCAAAACTCTCATACTTTACTACTACTTACAAGATAAATGTTTACCTCTAGCCTTGTTATACCTAATAAACAGTGGCAATGACTTGTAAATCACTTGTTCATAACTTGTTGCAGGACTCATTTTGCCCCTTTAAAAAGCTTAAGCCAAAACCCATTTGAACTGTTGAAATGAAATGCTAGTTATGCCCTTAAGAGATGTACAATCCTTAATATGTTTTGTTATTTGAATAAGTTTGTGATTATCAAACAGTCTCTTCTGATCATCATACAATGTTTGTATGTTCAAAGTAAATTTGACCATGTGTATCAGCATGGCTGACCTTATGAATCTGCTTAACTATGACAACTAGTTGCTATATAGGTTGATTAGTCAACAAAAACAATGACCTATAATAATACGTTTATAAAGTGATCTAAAGTTGTACATTCCTGGTTATCTTATTTAGGAATTGATGATGGTCGTGACCTAGAATACTATTTTATTAAAGTGACCAACAGTTATACATTCCTGATAATTATGACTAGAAATTGACGATGGCCATAACTTAGTATAATATTTTAATAAAGCGACCAACAATTATACATGCCCCCTAGTGGCTCAACAGTAAGCTTGAGGGCTCACACCACTAAAGATCAGGTTTTGATACTTATGGTGAGTATAGCACAGATAGTCTATTATGTAGCTTTGTGCTTAACAACACATAAACAATTATACATTCTTGATATTCTTAACTAGAAATCAATTATGGTCATGACCTAGAATAATACTTTATTAAAGTGACCAACAGTTATAAGTTCCTGATAATCTTAACTAGGAATTGATGATGGCCATGACCTAGATAGAGACATGCTATCTGGAATCTATGAAAGAATCAAAGCTAGTGAATTTAAAACTGGATCTGACCATGTGACACAAGTAATGAAGGTTCAACAGACAATTGTTGGCAAGAAACCAGTGAGTAAATTATCTAAATTACTATACAGTAGTGCTTCTAAAGTTCAGAATTCAATATTTGTTTTAACCTTTGTTTTACCTTCAGCCTACAACATTATAATCAATTGTTTTGGTCACCCACTATTATAATATTAAATTAAATGTTAAAAGGAGGAGGAGATTTGATTTTTATTCAGGGGGAAATTGTTTCCATAATTCTTCTTTAAGATGTGTATCTGACTTGAATTTTTCTATTAAAGCTTTGAACCAATAATCAAGTGTTCAGTGCAATTTCAAGAATTAGAATTTGATCTGTAATAAGGAAAGTGAGGGAATTTTCTTATCTCAGCTTGCAAACTGGAATCACTAATCTATAATTTTCAGTAAAAGATTATTAAATTAACTTCTTTAGAACCTAGCACAGCCTCACAGAAGGTTGGTCTGTTATTGTCGTCTTTATGAAGTTTATGACATAACCAAGAAAGAAAGGTCTGGAATCCATCAGCGTGAAGTGTTCCTGTTTAATGATACTCTCCTGGTAAGGATTATAGTACTTGTACAAGGTGAACTGAAGTTATACTTGAATGTAGTAAATAAATTCTAGGTTACAGTAAATAGTAAATAAATTCTAGGTTGCAGTAAATAGTAAATAAGTTCTAGGTTGCAGTAAATAGTAAATAAATTCTAGGTTGCAGTAAATAGTAAATAAATTCTAGGTTGCAGTAAATAGTAAATAAATTCTAGGTTGCAGTAAATAGTAAATACGTTCTAGGTTGCAGTAAATAGTAAATAAATTCTAGGTTGCAGTAAATAGTAAATAAATTCTAGGTTACAGTAAATAGTAAATAAATTCTAGGTTGCAGTAATGATTAATTTTTATGCAAGCAAATTTGTTTCTAAAGTATGTGTATCAATATTTTTTTAAAACCATCCAAGATGCATGTTTTTCTTTATTTAGTTTGTAATGATTTTCTAACCTGCTTTTACTTAATGCTTACTCCTCAATTGTAGTAATGAAACTACATTAATATGGATAAAGCAATGAAATAAATCCATCATTATTTATGCTCATTTGCTTGCATTAATTGTATATTAGCTATAGACACACACACACATACATGCATACATAGATGTAAATATCTGTAGTATAAAGCTGTTGAAATTGTACCAATTTTAATACAGGAAGTATTATCTCGGAAATTTATAATAGTTAACTGTAAGAGGAACAGTACATCATATTATTAATAGTGTTTTGAAAAAAATATTATCTATTTTGTAAATTTTATATTATGCTTCAGCAGTCGTTACAAACAATTTTAACTTATTTTATACAGGTCTCTAAAATCTTTAGTAAGAAGAAAATGAGTATTACTTATACGTTCCGGCAATCTTTTCCACTGTGTGGAGTTAACGTCTTGCTTTTTGAAGCTCCACGTAAGTTTTTTACCAGTATTAATTATCACCTACACACGTATCACAGTTAACATATGCTTTCTATTTATTTATTTTTTCCATTAAGTGTTCTATGTAGGCATACCATGTGTTTCTTATCCCCTTAGTTAATATATAAGCATTTTCATAATTTCTGTGCATATTGAGCAAGTATTGTTAACATAGAAAGTTGGTCAAGGGAGCCACTGAGTTTTTCTTGTCTTAATTACTCAACTATGGTGTCAAATGCACTTTCTCATGGGAGAGATTCCTGGAAGGTAGACCATCCTGTAGAAATAGACAGTAATATTTTCCATTAACAAGTCTGGGGATGTCCCAGGGATACAACATTCCTTGTTTAGAAATGAGAATGAATGTCATGTCATGTAGGTAATGCCCATGCCCTGAGAAGAAAAACATTATGGTTATTAGTATATAATGGTATGCTTTCTCAGTCTGAAACAAGAGAAGATAAGATAATGATTTGCTTTAAATACACTGAGAGTTCTCCATTGAATGTGCCACAAAATGCACTTGACTTTAATTGTGAGTGTATTGAACTAAAACATTGTTATACATTATGTCCAGTCTCTTTGATTCAAACTCGTCGAAAATAAGAAAATCCTGACAAGTCTTCTGTTATCCTGTGGATCCTATTCGAGTACTTTAAGGGAAATCAGTGAACTTGAGAATATCGCTTAAGTATAACTGTAAAAACATTGGTAGAGTAACTACTTGCTTACTGATAGAGACGTTCATGAAGTGAAGATTTCAGCATTATTATGAGTCACATCCATATTTATACAAAATGAAATATAAGAATGAATGCATTGTTTTCTAGCTCTTCCATAAACTTTGTTTAGAATCTGTACTTAATGTAGAATAAATCTAAAATTATTTAAAGGAATAGACGCAAGGCTGAGTAAAATATTTTTTCATTATTTTGGGATTATAGACTGGTCAACAGATAAGCATCAGGTACTTGGGTTGGGGGGGGGGGAGTATTGAAAAAGTTTTTAAATTGTTCAGTCTTTGTAATAGGCTGTGTCTGTAGGTAAAACAGCTTGTTGTATGTTACCTACATATATTTAGAAAATCAATACTCAAATACTTCAATTTCTAATGCAGATGCACATTATTGAGATCTTGAAATTAAAATAATTGATAATGATATCAATCTAAATGTTTTTGATAAAAGAAAATACTTTTCTTTTCCTATAGATGGCTTACCCTCTTTTAATACTAATGTGCCATACTCTTCTGTTATAAGTATTATGACTTTTCAGTTATTCAGATTTTATAAAATCTGTAATAAATTACAATATTTCATTATTAATGTTGAAATATTAATGGAGAAATTAATATTCAATCAATTTAATAAAGTTATTAAAATATTCTGTGGTAAATATAAAAACTTATGAAATAAATATAAAGAAGTAAACATTAAGGAGATTTTACTGATAGTTTCCAATAAGTATTTTTAGTTTTAATAAGGCACTACTTTTATGGGGAGGAACGCCTTATCTCGTATAAAGGCTTGTGTAGAGTCTGAAAATTAGTAGCTACAGTGGACTTTTAATGGGTGGTGGTTGGGAGTTAAACTAGTTAGTTTAGATACTTCGTTTTGATGTTATATTAGTATAATTTGTCTACTGTGCTACTAATTAGTGCTTTACTACTACAATGGGAGCTGGAATGCCAACCTCAGGAGGTAAGTTTACCTTACTTACCCCCAAGTGATAGTACCTTATTTTGTCTTTCTTTCTTTCTTTTTATATTTATTTATTTTACTTTGGAGAGCAGTCACCTTCTCACTACTGTTTACAGGCAGTGAAGAGGGATATAGATGTGGGACGTTGTGGGCTAGAGCACCCACATCTCACCCTCCTCATTTCTACTTTTGATTATTATTTTATTTTATTTTTATTTCTTCATGTGAGTTTGTTTGTTTGTTTGAAGTTATGCATAAAGCTACACAATGGGCTATCTGTGCTCTGCCCACCACGGGTATCGAAACCCGGTTTCTAGCGTTGTAAGTCCGCGGACATACCGCTGTGTCACTGGGGGGCTTCATGTGAGACTAGCGAACGAAGGTTAAGACTGATAGACGGTGTATCCCTACTGCAATGTGAGTCCAACTTCCGCAGTCACCTCCAAAACTCAGGGCACATTTTATATCCCACATTATAGCCTGTGCCCTGGGAATCCTTTTGATTTGTGCAGCGTCTTTGTTTGACTTATGTTTGGGCTTGTTTTTGTTCATTTGGATATATATTACACTGAATTATTTTGTTAAACTTTCGTATTCGTCTAAGCTGAGTTCTCTATGAAAGGAAAACGTTAATTCTACTTATTGTGAAATATGTTGAATATTTTAATAGTATAACTAACTCTGAAATTTGTCCTTTTTTCAACAGATTATTCACATGGGATTAGGCTTACACGTAGAGTTGACAGCAAGGTTTTAATTACTTTCAATGCAAGAAACATGCACGACCGAACTAAATTTGTAGATGATTTGAAAGAATCCATTCTAGAGGTGAGGTATTTCAAAATTGTATTGTTACTTTTGTAAATACTTGGTAAAGAAAATGTAATTTTCTCAAGTAAAGGTTGTGATGAAAAAAAAATCGTATTTTCTCAGATCTGTGAAGTTTTTAAAGATTCTACTACATATTGAACTTCTGTTTGTAAACTCTTTCCTTAAGATAAAATCCACATAACGTTCTTAACTAGCTCTCTCTCATTTCCATGTTCTTAACTTGCTTAATTCTTGCACGAGCTTTGCATTGTTCCACATTCTGGGGAGATTTTCTTCAGGAAAGAGTTATTGTAAAAATATATTTTTTTCACTCTCCACTTAATATTTTATCGTAGTTTTATTAAGTCATAGATTGTACACATTTATGTTAAATATTACAGGAAGGATTAGTTTCGTAACCTATTCAGAAGGTTATAGGATATATTTGAATTTTATTTAATGATCTATACACAAGTTTCATTGTGGCAAACATCACAAATGATGTCGCATTTTTTATTTATTTTTTCTAATATCGAATTCTGTATTCTTTGATAATTTGATTTATATTTTGCTCTTTAGCTGCAACATTTAAGAGTGTTTTGTAGAAAATATATTTTTTGTTTTCTTTCCTAGATGGATGAAATGGAGAACCTTCGGATAGAAGCAGAACTAGAAAAACAGAAATCTCTGAGAACGAGAGTTACAGAGAACAGAGACTCTGGTGTCGTAGATATAGAGGTTCTTCCCTCCACTAGTCAAGAAAGAAACAGACTCCACCCCGATGGACAGTCTTCCAACATAAAACGTTCTTCCCTGTCTAACTCTCTCCTTGACCTTCATGATCCTCGTAAGTTTGAGTTGCTAAATTCTCGGATAATGGATGAGGATAAATGTGTTGTTGGTTTTTGTTCTCATTCTAAATACAGTTAGGTATGTTATTATCTTCTGATTACTGACGTTAATTACATATCCTACACTCTAACAACTGATATAATAGGAATGAGTGCAAAACTGACAAATATTATTCATTTGAGGTAAGCTGGGAAATATCTATTTGAAGAATCCACCTGAAGATACTGACCAATACAGAAGTAATCATCAGTATAATATGTTTTTCATTTATTTCATAGGTTTTTGCTTGTACGTTATAACTAGTTAACTTTTAGTTCTCCCATCTAATGGTTGGTAACGTTTTATCCTCTTATAACTAAGGCTGGTATATTTAACACACTGATAACTTGTTAACTTTTCTTTCACCTCTTCAATGATTGGTAACGTTTTATCTTCTTATAGCTAAGGCTGGTATGTTTAACACTGATAACTAGCTAACTTTTATTTTACCCCTCTAATGGTTGGTCACGTTTTATCTTCTTATAGCTAAGGCTGGTATGTTTAACACTGATAACTAGCTAACTTTTATTTTACACCGTTAATGGTTGGTAACGTTTTATCTTTTTATAGCCAATGCTGGTATATTTAACACTGATAACTAGCTAACTTTTATTTTACCCCTCTAATGGTTGGTCACGTTTTATCTTCTTATAGCTAAGGCTGGTATGTTTAACACTGATAACTAGTTAACTTTTATTTTACACCGTTAATGGTTGGTAACGTTTTATCTTTTTATAGCCAATGCTTGAACGTTTTAATCAACCTGAATTGTAGAAGAGTGTAAAAAGTGATTAGTAGTGCGGTGAATGATTAAGTTCTAATACATCAGTTATATACTTTACCAGTAAAAATGAATCAAGTTACGTAGAAAATAAGTTTGGGGAAAAACAGAAACATTTTAAATGTGAGACTATAACAGAATCAGTGAATATACAACCATGAAAATGAAAACTAAAGAATATTCCTTATTATTAAATTTTAGCTTTAATGTCACATTAAGTGAATTATCAGATCAATGTAGACATGCCTTAGTGCCATGCTAAGTGAATTAACACCTCAAGTAAAATTAACAGTTACTCCACTTTCACAGGCCTATTTTCTAAGTGACACCTACCTAACGATCAGTGAGCCCAGAATAATGTGGGAGTGGCACTTCAGGACAGTTTCTGGGAGTCCCTAAGCATTGTGACTGTCTTTATTAGTGTTAATTGTAAGGTTCTAGCTGAAACGTTTCAATACATTTAGTTGTCTTATAACAGCAATAAAAGAAATATTTAACAAGTAAAACTTCGCATTCAAGTTGTATTATCATGGATTAACAAGTAAATATTAGTCTCCAAGTTGTATTATCGTTGATTAACAAGTAAATATTAGTCTCCAAGTTGTATTATCGTTGATTGACAAGTAAATATTAGTCTCCAAGTTATATTATCGTTGATTAACAAGTAAATATTAGTCACCAAGTTGTATTATCATTGATTAACATATAAATATTAGCCTCCAAGTTGTATTATCGTTGATTAACAAGTAAATATTAGTCTCCAAGTTGTACTATCATGGATTAACAAGTAAATATTAGTCTCCAAGTTGTATTATCGTTGATTAACAAGTAAATATTAGTCTCCAAGTTGTACTATCATGGATTAACAAGTAAATATTAGTCTCCAAGTTGTATTATCGTTGATTAACAAGTAAATATTAGTCTCCAAGTTTATTATCGTTGATTAACAAGTAAATATTAGTCTCCAAGTTGTATTATCGTTGATTAACAAGTAAATATTAGTCTCCAAGTTGTATTATCGTTGATTAACAAGTAAATATTAGTCTCTAAGTTGTATTATCAAATGACAGTATGATAGAGAACATATCTGATACTTTTTATGTATATAAAATTATCGTACTTTTATAATGTTTGCACAATATTAAACAAAATAAGAAACTCCAGTTCTCTGAAGTAGTCATGTCTAGTGTAAAAAAAATCATTTCTATTTTAAATGGCCCAACTACTAACGTTTAACATATCTGATTGGATCTAAAAGCTGTTTTACTATCCTACTGTTTGAATTGGACTAGGAAGAGTTTAGGCTACTAACAGTTTTAAGTAACTATTATTTGAATGATGTCTTAAGTATTTACTTGAGTGAAGGATAAGTAATTTTATTCATATACTAATGAGCCTTTTTTGTTTATTGATTCACGTTCAGAAATGAACAAGCCTGTTCGAAGAGGTAGTGCAGGCTCTTTAGATAGCGGAATGGTGAGTTTGTTTCTTTTACCAAAACAATTGGGCGAGTAAGGGCTTTTGGGTTTTTTTCATATTTATTTTTACATGCTATTTACAAAGTTCACGGGTTCTTCATATCACTTGATCTCCTAGGTAGAAAGCAGTTAGAGCCAACTACATAACTGCTAATGTAGTAAACCTTTGCTTCATAGGTAGAAATCAGTTAAGCCAACTACATAAATACTAATGTGATAACCTTTTGCATCGTGGTAAGAAGGCAGTTTAAGCCTACTTCATAACTGCTAATGTAGTAAACCTTTGCTTCATAGGTAGAAGTCAGTTAAGCCTACTTCATAACTGCTAACGTCTTCGCTTCTTAGGAATCTAGCTATTCCAAAACTATGCATACCACATATCCACAAATGATTTACAAGTCTATAACTTTCACTAGTATCATTGTTCACCGTTAATGTGTTTGTAATGATTCAGTGCATATTTCTTAGAAAAAAATCAAAGTAGTCTCTTCAAAACTAACATTTTCAGATGCCCTTCTAAATCTTCAGATGTAATTTTAAATTATTACAATCGACCTCCATGAATAAGAACATGAAAACCATTTCGTCATCATAGGATGATGAATTATCCAAATATACTAGTGACTAAATTTTGACTTTTACTCGACCAATCAACATATGCGCAAGTGGGGGATAACCCTTACCAGGTGAATAACATAATTTTCAAACAAACACTGTTTGAACAGTTCAAATGAAAATCATCAGATTTACTTCTCTTTTTGTTCAAGTTCCGTGTATGACTAATTTTTTTATTTTTGGTATTTTGAATGGATCCTGGGTTTTCTCGACTAATGCAAAGTTCGCGTAAACAAAACAAAAATATTCAATTCAAGTCCTCAAAAAATGTGACTATGCAACAACTAAAACACTATTCAGTTCAAGATCTCGAAAAATGATTATGCAACAACAGAAACACTATTCAATTCAAGATCTCGAAAAGTGATTATGCAACAACTAAAACACTATTCAATTCAAGATCTCGAAAAGTGATTATACAACAACTAAAACTATTCA